ATTAGCTCTGAATCCACGATATGGCAGAGGCTGAATAGCCATAACACATATGTTTTTTCAACAACAGGTTATGGTCAATAATATCAAAGGCTGCGCTGAAATCTAACAGTACAGCTCCCACAATCTTCTTATTATCCATTTCTTTCAACCAATCATCAGCCATTTGTGTCAGTGCAGTACATGTTGAGTGCCAATCTCTATAAGCATGCCGAAAGTCTGATCATTTGTTAACAATCGAATAACATTGTATCTGGTCAAACACAATAATAATAAAACAAATTGCTAAGCGTCGGCACCAAGCTAATTGGTCGGCTGTTTGAACCAGTAAAGTGTGCTTTGCTGATCTTGGGTAGCGGAATTACCTTTGCTTCCCTCCAGGCCTGAGGACAAACATTTTTCTCCAGACTCAGATTAAAGAGGACAAATGGGAGTGGCAACATAGTCTGCTACCATCCTCAGTGGCTTTCCATTTAAGATGTCAATACCAGGTGGTTTCTCATTATTGATGGACGACAACTATTTATTCACCTCACCCCACCCACCATGACTTTACAAAATTTAAAATTACAAAGCTTCCCCTTCATTATTAAGGTATTTTATGTATGAATATGATGGTTCAAAGTTAGTTGTTGGATATTCATTCCTAAGTTTGCTTACTTTGGCAATGAATTTGTCTTTAAAGCAATTGCCAACATCAAAAGGTTTTGTGATAAATGAGCCATCTGATTCAATGAAAGATGGAGATGAATTAGTCTTTCTGCCCATAATCTCAGTATTCCAAAGCTTTTTTCCATTGTACTTTGTCATTTATCTTAGTTTCATAATACAAATTCTTCTTCTTTTTGTTCAGTTTAGTCACATTTCTCAATTACAGTAAGTTTGCCAATCAGATGTGCAGCCAGACTTATTCGCCGCTCCTTTTGCCTCGTCCCTCTCAATTACACAGCATTTCAATTCCTTATCAATCCACAGGGCCTTAACAGTTCTAACAGTCAGTTTCTTAATAGGTGAATGCTTATCACTAACTGGAAGAAACAATTTAATAAATGTGTCAAGTGCAGCTTCTGGATGCTCTTCATTACACAGATTAGACCAATAAATATTTTTGGTATTTTCAACATAGGAGTCAGTACAAAACCTATTTTAGGCCCAGCCTTTGGAACGTTGGCTTTTTTAGATATGACCACTGTATTATGGTCAGTACACCCAATGGGTCTGGATATAGCTTTAGAGCAGAGTTCTGCAGCATTGGTAAAAATGTGATCAATACACGTGGATGATATACAGTACTTCCTGTACTGTTTGTAAACACTTTGGTACAGTGGCTTGCGAAAGGATTCACCCCCTTGGCATTTTTCCTATTTTGTTGCCTTATTCACCCACCAAAGTCAATACTTTGTAGAGCCACCTTTTGCAGCAATTACAGCTGCAAGTCTCTTGGGGTATGTCTCTATAAGCTTGGCACATCTAGCCACTGGTATTTTTGCCCATTCTTCAAGGCAAAACTGCTCCAGCTCCTTCAAGTTGGATGGGTTCCGCTGGTGTACAGCAATATTTGTCATACCACAGATTCTCAATTGGATTGAGGTCTGGGCTTTGATTAGATCCCTCAAGAATTTCCCTGTGTTTAGCGCCATCCATCATTCCTTCAATTCTGACCAGTTTCCCAGTCCCTGCCGATGGAAAAACATTGGTGTTCTCGGGGTGATGAGAGGTGTTGGGTTTGCACCAGACGTAGCGTTTTCCTTGATGGCCAAAAAGCTCAATTTTAGTCTCATCTGACCAGAGTACCTTCTTCCATATGTTTGGGGAGTCTCCCACATGCCTTTTGGCGAACACCAAACGTGTTTGCTTATTTTTTTCTTTAAGCAATGGCTTTTTTCTGGCCACTCTTCCGTAAAGCCCAGCTCTGTAAAGTGTACGGCTTAAAGTGGTCCTATGGACAGATACTCCAATCTCCGCTGTGGAGCTTTGCAGCTCCTTCAGGGTTATCTTTGGTCTCTTTGTTGCCTCTGATTAATGCCCTCCTTGCCTGGTCCGTGAGTTTTGGTGGGCGGCCCTCTCTTGGCAGGTTTGTTGTGGTGCCATATTCTTTCCATTTTATAATAATGGATTCAATAGTGCTCCGTGGGATTTTCAATGTTTCTGATACTTTTTTATAACCCAACCCTGATCTGTACTTCTCCACAACTGTGTCCCTGACTTGGTTTGGAGAGCTCCTTGGTCTTCATGGTGCTGCTTGCTTGGTGGTGCCCCTTGCTTAGTGGTGTTGCAGACTCTGGGGCCTTTCAGAACAGGTGTACAGTGAGGGAAAAATGTATTTGATCCCCTGCTGATTTTGTACGTTTGCCCACATACAAAGAAATGATCAGTCTGTAATTGTAATGGTAGGTTTATTTGAACAGTGAGAGATAGAATAACAAAACTAAAGTCCAGAAAAACGCATGTCAAAAATTTTATAAATTGATTTGCATTTTAATGAGGGAAATAAGTATTTGACCCCTTCTCAATCAGAAAGATTTCTGGCTACCAGGTGTCTTTTATACAGGTAACGAGCTGAGATTAGGAGCACACTCTTAAAGGGAGTGCTCCTAATCTCAGCTTGTTAACTGTATATAAGACACCTGACCACAGAAGAAATCAATCAATCAGATTCCAAACTCTCCACCATGGCCAAGACCAAAGAGCTCTCCAAGGATGTCAGGGACAAGATTGTAGACCTACACAAGGCTGGAATGGGCTACAAGACCATCGCCAATCATCTTGGTGAGAAGGTGACAACAGTTGGTGCAATTATTCGCAAATGGAAGAAACACGAAAGAACTGTCAATCTCCCTCGGCCTGGGGCTCCATGCAAGAACTCACCTCGTGGAGTTGCAATGATCATGAGAACGGTGAGGAATCAGGTATCTGATGTTAGGAATCAACTACACGGGAGGATCTTGTCAATGATCTCAAGGCAGCTGGGACCATAGTCACCAAGAAAACAATTGGTAACACACTACGCCGTGAAGGACTGAAATCCTGCAGCGCCCGCAAGGTCCCCCTGCTCAAGAAAGCACATATACAGGGCCATCTGAAGTTTGCCAATGAACATCTAAATGATTCAGAGGAGAACTGGGTGAAAGTGTTGTGGTCAGATGAGACTAAAATCGAGGTCTTTGGCATCAACTGTTTGGAGGAGGAGGAATGCTGCCTATGACCCCAAGAACACCATCCCCACCGTCAAAAACATGGAGGTGGAAACATTATGCTTTGGGGGTGTTTTTATGCTAAGGGAACAGGACAACTTCACCGCATCAAAGGGACGATGGACAGGGCCATGTACTGTCAAATCTTGGGTGAGAACCTCCTTCCCTCAGCCAGGGCATTGAAAATGGGTCGTGGATGGGTATTCAAGCATGATAATGACCCAAAACACACGGCCAAGGCAACAAAGGAGTGGCTCAAGAAGAACCACATTAAGGTCCTGGAGTGGCCTAGCCACTGAAGGTTCGAGTTGCCAAACGTCAGGCTCGAACCCTTAATGACTTGGAGAAGATCTGCAAAGAGGAGTGGAACAAAATCCCTCCTGAGATGTGTGCAAACCTGGTGGCCAACTACAAGAAACATCTGACTTCTGTGATTGCCAACAAGGGTTTTGCCACTAAGTCATGTTTTGCAGAGGGGTCAAGTACTTATTTCCCTAATTAAAATGCAAATCAATTTATAACATTTTTGACATGCGTTTTTCTGGATTCTTTTGTTGTTATTCTGTCTCTCACTGTTCAAATAAACCTACCATTAAAATTATAGACTGATCATGTCTTTGTCAGTGGGCAAACGTACAAAATCAGCAGGGGATCAAATACTTTTTTCCCTCACTGTATATATACTGAGATCATGCGACAGATCATATGACACTTAGATTGCACACAGGTGGACTTTATTTAACTAATTATGTGACTTCTGAAGGTAATTGGTTGCACCAGATCTTATTTAGGGGCTTCATAGCAAAGGGGGAGAATACATATGCACGCACCACTTTTCCATTATTTATTTTTTAGAATTATTTGAAACAAGTTATTTTTTTCATTTAACTTCACCAATTTGGACTATTTTGTGTATGTCCATTACATGAATTCCAAATAAAAATCAATTTAAATTACAGGTTGCAATGCATCAAAATAGGAAAAATGCCAAGGGGGATGAATAGTTTTGCAAGGCACTGTAGGTTGACTAATAACCTGAACCAGATTACAGGCACTGGTTACAGTGAGCAGCTTCCTCTTGAGCGGACAGTCTATATTCAGGTCACCCAGAAAATAGACCTCTGTTAACATCACACACATTATCAAGCATTTTACACATATTATCCAGATAATGAATATTAGCGCTTGGTGGCCTATAGCAGCACCCCAAAAGAAGAGGCTATATATGATGCAGGTGAACCTGCAACCACAACACTTCAACAGCTTTACAGAAATGTATTTGAACATATACAGCAACACCTCCACCATAGGCATTCCTGTATTGCTACTGCTGTATCATCAAATTAATCTGAGATGGCCTATATATGAATGGTATCTGATGTTAGCGAGTTACTGATTTCATTAACCTTATTTTTAAGACTATATATATTAGTAATATGGGCTATTTCTATCCCTTTCCTGGGTAGCTTATCAGAGATAAATACAAAAATATAAAAGCATGAAAAGAACATTGTTCGGCTAATAGAGTCAGTCAAACAGGCAGTTGGTGTGTGTGTGTGTGATATGCGGCTGAAGCTACTGACCTTCTCACCTGTATATGAACATACCTTGAGTTTGTGGAACTCCAGTGTGGTAATAATGACATGTTTATGAACATACCTTGAGTTTATGGGACTCCAGTGTAGTAATGTCATGTATATTAACATACCTTGAGTTTGTTGAACTCCAGTGTGGTAATAATGACATGTTTATGAACATACCTTGAGTTTATGGGACTCCAGTGTAGTAATGTCATGTATATTAACATACCTTGAGTTTGTTGAACTCCAGTGTGTTACTGACTTGTATGAGTTCCTCCATCTGCTTCATCTGGCCCACCTGGGTGTTGGACTCCTTGATGATCTGGAAGAGGGAGAATAACAACAAAGGGTGGAGCACATTTTGGTAAGGTTTTGTTGGCCCAGTATGTTGAAGAAGTATCCACCAGAAAGACTGCTGTCCATTTCCTAATGGATTTCAAATATTTTCAATAGGCTTACTTATTTTCAATGGCACATTGTTCATAGTGTATGTTTTATATTTTATGCTGCTTGCATGTCTACAGTGACCAATACATACACTATATATACAAAAGTATGTGGACACCCCTTCAAATTTGTGGATTCGGATATTTCAGCCACACCCATTGCTGACAGGTGTATAAAATCGAGCACACAACCATGCAATCTCCATAGACAAACACTGGCAGTAAAATTGCCTTACGGAAGAGCTCAGTGACTTTCAACATGGCACCGTCATAAGATGCCACCTTTCCAACACGTCAGTTCGTAAAATGTCTGCCCTGTTAGAGCTGCCCCGGTCAACTGTAAGTTCTGTTATTGTGAAGTGGAAACGTCTAGGAGCAACAACAGCTTAGCCGCGAAGTGGTAGGCCACACAAGCTCACAGAACAGGACTGCCAAGTGCTGAAGCGCATAGCACATAAAAATTGTCTGTCCTCGGTTGCAACACTCACTACAGAGTTCCAAACTGCCTCTGGAAGCAACGTCAGCACAATAACTGTTCGTCGGGAGCTTCATGAAGTGGGTTTCCATGGCCGAACTGCCGCACACAAGTCTAAGATCACCATGTGCAATGCCAAGCGTCGACTGGAGTGGTGTAAAGCTCACCGCCATTGTACTCCGGAGCAGTGGAAACGCGTTCTCTGGAGTGATGATTCACGCTTCACCATCTGGCAGTCCGACAGACGAATCTGTGTTAAGCGGATGCCAGGAGAACGCTACCTGCCCCAATGCATAGTGCCAACTGTAAAGTTTGGTGGAGAGGAATAATGGTCTGGGGTTGTTTTTCATGGTTCGGGCTAGGCCCATTAGTTCCAGTGAAGGGACATTTTAATGCTACAGCACACAATGACATTCTAGACGATTCTGTGCTTCCAACTTTGTGGCAATAGTTTGGAGAAGGTCCTTTCCTGTTTCAGCATAACAATGCCCCCATGCACAAAGCGAGGTCCATACAGAAATGGTGTGTCGAGATCGGTGTGGAAGAAATTGACTGGCCTGCACAGAGCCCTGACCTCAACCCCATCTAATACCTTTGGGATATATTGGAACGCTGACTGCGAGCCAGGTCTAATTGCTCGCACTCACTAATGCTCTTGTGGCTGAATGGAAGCAAGTCCCTGCAGCAATGTTCCAACACCTATTGGAAAGCCTTCCCAGAAGAGTGGAGGCTGCTATAGCAGCAAAGGGGGGACCAACTCCATATTAATGCCCATGATTTTGGAATGAGATGTTTGACGAGCAGGTGTCCACATACTTTTGGTAATGTAGTGTATCAAATTTGGGTGGATGGAGTAGGTGTTACCTCAGACACTGAGTTCAGGGCTCTAGAGGCAGTGTTCTCCTCCCTAGTGCCCTCTTTAGTCCTCTTCAGGATGTTCTGTGTGGAAAAGCAGACTTAGGTTGCCTCCCAATTGCACCCTATTCCCTATATAGTGAAGCCAATAGGGCTCTGGTCAAAAGTAGTGCACTATGTATGGAATAGGGTGCCATTTTGGATACAGCCTTACAGTAAAGTGAGTGCATACATTTTTTGCATGTGTATGTAATATAACCTGCGACCTGGAGATGGAGCCAGCCGCTGTTACTGACCAGGGCTCGATGCATCTTTCCTACAATGGCCGAAGATGTAACATGCGTTTCCCAAAACACCACGCAGAGAGAACATTCGCTAAGTGCATTGTTGAGGCATTTGTCGATACTGATAGGATCGAAAGAAAGACAGCGCTGCTCTCGGATCAGCTTTCTCAATTTAAATCTTACCTTAACATTCAAATTATTCCACAATACTGACGATGCTTACCTTATAATAATGCACTAAATCAAGATTTGGCACATCGTTAAGCACATGTTATTACACATCATGAAATATATTGAGGCAAAATTACAGACAGTAATAGAACTCAATGGAATGAACATGAAATTGATTTTAATATGATTTAAATATATTGGCCTACGTCGCCTACAGTATTCAACACTGCAGTCATCTCGGTTTTCATCCTTCTCTTTTTTTGAAACAATTGCAAAGACATTTGCAACTTTGTATTTGTAGCCAACTTTGTTCTGAAGTTATCGGTGGTCACAGAGAGACAGATAAACATCTGGATTCTATGTGTGTAAAGGGACGCATTATCTAACGACGCACTTAGCTGTTCTATGAGTGGCTGAGGCAGTCGTTACATAACGAGCATTTTCAAGTGCAACTTTAGTAACAATGGTTTTGGGAGATTTAACGATGCTCCTACGAAGGTTCTAACGATTAACTTAGCCTTAAGATGCTTTTGGGAAACCGGGCCCTGGATGTTGATGCATGTGATGGAATTAGAACTAACTATCTAATTGATTCTAATTATGATTACATTGTGATGATTCTGGGTTGGAGAGATGCAGCCACTGACCTGTACGAGGATCTTGATGCGTGTGATCCTCTGGAAAGGAAGGAGCAGAAAGGAGGTGAAGGGAAGACGACGACACATAGGAGACTCCTCCAGCCTCCGCATCACCAACGCAAACGGGTTGTTGGTCTGCCTACAAAGTGGATTGGTGGGTTAACGAATAGTGATGGGAAGGTCGGCTCTTTTTACTGACTGATCTTTTCGACTGAATCTTTCGACTCATTCCGTTCATTTGAGTCAGTAAAGGACGATTTATGCTTGATCTGGAATTTTGATTCAGAGGCTCTGTACGGAGGATGTGATGCAATTTTGGAGCCTCCATAGGCTTGCGGAGGCCAAATCGTACCACTCCAAAATGTTGTAACAATGCGGAGGGCTCCATATAGCTCCGCGTTTACATTATTGGTTGACGGTAGGTGGGGGCGGGAGGTCCTGTATAAACACACTCACTTCCTTGACAACTTCCTTCACAACAACTCTGCTCTGCAAAGCGCAAGAAGTATGAATGCCCTGACTTCTGCAGTAAATGCTGTACGACCAATGCAGATCCGGAATGACCATAAACCGGCTTTAATACCCAGAGCACGCAGGACCGATGAACTAAAAACAAAATAATCATGATTCTACAAGCCTCTCGTTCACCATAGGGGGCTTATTGGAGCTGTCATCTGTGACAGAAACTTATAAAACTGTGCTTCAAACAATGTACATTTGGGATTGCTAGGTATACAAATAAGTTCATTTATTGACACCTTTGAAATTAGGTCTAGTTGCTGCCGCAACCAGACTAAATTGTGAACGAATCTTGGCGGAATGCAATTGCTTGACTGCCACGAGGGAGATTTGCCCAATAACCTAGCTATCATTCGCTAACTGCAGTAGCCACCGAAACGATTCTTCTTGAGTTTGAGAGTTGAGCAGAGGCAGGCTGTGTATGTTTTGGTTGTACAAAGCTGTGTCCATCGATAACATTCAATAATCAATTGATTGCATTCATTCTTACACCATGCGATCTCACACTGATCACGGACATAATTTTTTGGGGTGGGAGTGGTCGAGTGCGGACTTTATCTCTGCCAGCTTTTTTTCATTTTTTTCAGAGGGTGGGTAATGGGTTGTTGTTGTTGTGTTGTTCTCTGTCTTTTTTTGTGGGTACTTGTGGGTGGGATGTCTTGTCACTGTGTCTACCTCAGGGTTTGTGTAGGGACTAGGGGAAGGGACAGGACTTCCCAACAGGTCATTAAACTGTAGCACCTTATCTAATTCCATTGATGTTGTGTCTTTTAGATATGTTTTATGAATCATTTCACACTGCTGTCTTGGAATGTAGACAGATGAAACATGCCTCGCAAGCGGGCTAGCTGCTTAGTTTAATTGAGAAGGAAAAATGTAGATATTGCATTTATTCAGGAGTCTCATCTGTTACAGAAAGGTGTGAATTGACTCAGCAACAACAAAAAACAAGAGGGGAAATTATTGTAGCAAAGCAGAATTTACAATTCACTAACTTAGGTGTAGGTAATGGCTGAGGGTATAATACCTTTTATCAAAACTACAATCAATATGCATAAGATTGCTCTGGTGTCAGTCAATGCACCAAACACATTTGAGAAAAACTTTCATGGCTCATTAACAAATATTTTGCTAGAATTGTCTGATTTCAGACTGATTTATTGGTGGTGATTTTAAAGCTGTATGGGATCATGTGCATCATAGAACCGGACTAACAGAGGTGAGAGACCAATGACTATCAGCTATGGTGCTGGGCTGATGAAATTGCAGTTATTGACCTCTGGCGCTCTTAATCCTACAGCCAGAGATTTCTCTTTTTATTAATTGAGCCACCTCAAGAATCAACTATATTTTTTCTTCTAAAGATCTGTTTGATAACATTCAAAATGTTAGAATATTACCCACTGCTTTATCCGACCACAATGGTATTTTATGCAAAGCCTCTCTTGGTACAATCAGCAGCTCATGTCTTAGATGGAGGAGCAATTATCTGAATTAATTGATATAAACAAAGACTGTTAAGGGTCCTCATACTGTGGGATGCGGTCAAAGTTTTTATTAGCTCATACTCTACCTTATATTAATCTAATTTAAACAACGCAAAATTACTGATTTTGGAATTCAAATTATCACCACTAGAAACAAAAATGCACTCTGACATCTCTCCACAAGCTATTCTTGATCAGTAGATTATCAGAAAATAACCATTAATCACATAGACACTGGGCAGAATCTCAGTTTCAGAGACTACGTGCCAACCAAAACTTTTTAAATATAACGTCAATTAAATCAATGGATGGCATCATACACTTTGACCAAGTATTAATACATTCAACATTCCGGGACTTCTATGGTAATTTATATAGATCTGAGATCCCACATGATAATGATAAATGTAACTCCTTTGTCCGTGACTTGCAACTGCCACAGCTTCACCCTGATGCTCGCTCCTGCAACAATAGAGGCACCTGCTACTCCTTATTACTCTTATTTGAACTAAAATAAGCAATCCAAACAACAAAATCCAGGTAGAATCAGGAATTCCCCAGGACAGCTGTCTAGGCCCCTTACTTTTTTCTATCTTTACTAATGACATGCCACTGGCTTTAAGTAAAGCCTCTTTCATCAGCGTATGACTCAGTAAGACTGCTAGTGTGAACTACTCATCTAACTATGGGTTAGGGAAGTCCTGTGGGAGGGGGGCGGGAGGGGAAATCTTTGTCTTGTTCCGTCTTGTCGTTTGTTTCTTTGTCCATGTGTACTTGTTTTACCAATAACAAAAAATATGCTGGAGTATAGAGCCAAATCATTTTTGCTTCACTGTCCAAATACATAATAGTGAAGATAAAATGTTTCATATGAGGTGACAGTACAAAAGGTTGTATGTTTTACCATTTAGAAATGAAAGCACGTTATGTATCTAGCCAACCCCCCCCCCCCCCCCCCCCCCCCCCCCCCCCCCCATTTGAAGAAGTCTTTTGACAAATTCTCTTATAGTATATGAAATTAGTAAAAAGTTAGTATTTTGTCCCATATTCCTTGCATGCAATGACTACATCAAGCTTGTGACTCTACAAACTTGTTGGATGCATTTGCAGTTTGTTTTGGGTTATGTTTTGCCCAATAGTCTTATATAAATACTGTATATATATATTTATTTCAAAACTCAGAAGCACACAATCCATAAGTACATTGGGTCTTATAAGGTGTGGTGGGTGAACTTATTTACTCACATGAGGGAGCTGTAGGCCCTCTCCTGGTAACCCTGGTTACGGATGTAATCAATGTATACTGAGAAGTCGTACAGAGCGTATTGGTGGATGATATCACACACATCAGTTATCAGAATGTTCTCATCGATCCTATTCAGAAGATCATTCATGAACCTGTGAGAAGAATTTGAGAGTGAGGGATGTTTCAACTTAGGTACAGTGGGGAAAAAAAGTATTTAGTCAGCCACCAATTGTGCAAGTTCTCCCACTTAAAAAGATGAGATAGGCCTGTCATTTTCATCATAGGTACACGTCAACTATGACAGACAAAATGAGAAAAAAAATGCCAGAAAATCACATTGTAAGATTTTTAATGAATGTATTTGATAATTATGGTGGAAAATAAGTATTTGGTCAATAACAAAAGTTTCTCAATACTTTGTTATATACCCTTTGTTGGCAATGACACAGGTCAAACGTTTTCTGTAAGTCTCCACAAGGTTTTCACACACTGTTGCTCGTATTTTGGCCCATTCCTCCATGCAGATCTCCTATAGAGCAGTGATGTTTTGGGGCTGTCGCCTGGGCAACACGGACTTTCAACTCCCTCCAAAGATGTTCTATGGGGTTGAGATCTGGAGACTGGCTAGGCCACTCCAGGACCTTGAAATGCTTCTTACGAAGCCACTCCTTCGTTGCCCGGGCGCTGTGTTTGGGATCATTGTCATGCTGAAAGACCCAGCCACGTTTCATCTTCAATGCCCTTGCTGATGGAAGGAGGTTTTCACTCAAAATCTCACGATACATGGCCCCATTCATTCTTTCCTTTACACGGATCAGTCGTCCTTGTCCCTTTGCAGAAAAACAGCCCCAAGCATGATGTTTCCACCCCCATGCTTCACAGTAGGTATGGTGTTCTTTGGATGCAACTCAGCATTCTTTGTCCTCCAAACACGACGAGTTGAGTTTTTACCAAAAAGTTCTATTTTGGTTTCATCTGACCATATGACATTCTCCCAATCCTCTTCTGGATCATCCAAATGCACTCTAGCAAATTTCAGACGGGCCTGGACATGTACTGGCTTAAGCAGGGGGACACGTCTGGCACTGCAGGATTTGAGTCCCTGGCGGCGTAGTGTGTTACTGATGGTAGGCTTTGTTACTTTGGTCCCAGCTCTCTGCAGGTCATTCACTAGGTCCTCCCGTGTGGTTCTGGGATTTTTGCTCACCGTTCTTGTGATCATTTTGACCCCACGGGGTGAGATCTTGCGTGGAGCCCCGTGATCGAGGGAGATTATCAGTGGTCTTGTATGTCTTCCATTTCCTAATAATTGCTCCCACAGTTGAGTTCTTCAAACCAAGCTGCTTACCTATTGCAGATTCAGTCTTCCCAGCCTGGTGCAGGTCTACAATTTTGTTTCTGGTGTCCTTTGACAGCTCTTTGGTCTTGGCCATAGTGGAGTTTGGAGTGTGACTGTTTGAGGTTGTGGACAGGTGTCTTTTATACTGATAACAAGTTCAAACAGGTCCATTAATACAGATAACGAGTGGAGGACAGAGGAGCCTCTTAAAGAAGAAGTTACAGGTCTGTGAGAGCCAGAAATCTTGCTTGTTTGTAGGTGACCAAATACTTATTTTCCACCATAATTTGCAAATAAATTCATAAAAAATCCTACAATGTGATTTTCTGGAGAAAAAAAATCTCAATTTGTCTGTCATAGTTGACGTGTACCTATGATGAAAATTACAGGCCTCTCTCATCTTTTTAAGTGGGAGAACTTGCACAATTGCTGGCTGACTAAATACTTTTTTCCCCCACTGTAGGTTGGAACTCTCTTTCTTTACAGACCCCTCTACCATCCCTTCTCCATCCCCTCTCCCTCCATTCCCTCTCCCTCCATCCCCTCTTTTTATATCTCTCTCCTTCTATTCCCTCTCCCTCCATCCCCTCTCTCTCCATTCCTTCTTTCTCATCCACTCTCTTTCCATCCCTCCCTTCCTCCATCCACTCTCCTTCCATCCACTCCGTCCCTCTCCTTCCATCCCCTCTCTCTCATCCCTCCCTTCCTCTATCCACTCTTCCTCCATCTGTCTGTTTGTTTTCCAGACAACATTTACCTCTGGCTGACCTCGTATACATGGAGTATGTTGGAGAAGAGGGTCTTCTTGTCGTGGATAACCAGTGTGTCGTCAAGGTCACGACACATCAGGAAGTGATCAGTGAGAACGTTCAGTGAGTGGAGGTACGAGGCTTCCGATGTCAATACTTCAAACATGCTCTGACAGAAAAAACGTGAATGAAATTGTTGAACTGTTAAGGAAATGTTTCAGATAGGAATTTGGTACGATAAAGGACTGGTATAATGTAAATGAAAATATAACTGACTCCTCTCTCTCCCCCCTCCTTTCCTCACCCCCTCCTCTCATCCCCACATATCCACCCTTCTTCTTTCCCTTCCCCTCCTCCCCCTGCCCCTCCCTCTCTCCTTCCCTCTGCCCCTCCTCCCCTCCCATCCTCCTCTCACCTCCTGTCTCTGCAGCTCCTCTGGACTGAGTGTCTCCAGGATCCCACTGTCTCTGACCACCGGCAGTTCCTGCCACAGTGTGACCTCCGCGGAGTCGAAGAAAAGAAACACAAAGCTTCAACTACAAATCATTTTAGAGTGCTGGCCTTTTTCATTTTTATGTGATTGGTTTTTGGTTCAAAGCACCCTTTTTGCTTGTTTACAGAAGAGGATTTAGAGTTGAGCACTCTAATTATTTACTGAGACTGACCTCTGCAGGGCCCTTCCTGGCCCTGGAGGACAGGCCCTTAGGGGCCCCTAAGGACCCACCGCCCCCAAGCCTCACATGGTGGTCCACAGTGGCCCTGCTGGCACTCCGGCTGATGCTCTGGAGCCGGATCGCCTCCTTGATGGTCTTAGCCTGGTAGATCTGGTACAGAGGTTCTGAGAGTGTGGGGGGGAGGGGGAGGGAGTGGAAGAGAAAGAGAGAGAGGGCCAGGGAGAGATATTCAGGGTCAAGGAGAGAGGAGAGATAAAAAGATACACAGAGTATAGAAAACATTAAGAACACCTGCTCTTTGCATTACATAGACTGACCAGGTGAATCCAGGTGAAAGCTATGACCCCTTATTGATGTCACTTGTTAAATCTGCTTCAATCAGTGTAGATTAAGGTGATGAGACAGGTTAACTCAGTATTAGGAAGGTGTTCCTAATGTTTGGTATACTCAGTATATATTGTCTCCGTGTTGTAATATCAGAAATAAAACAAAACAGAGAGAGTCTGTACCGTCCACCCTCAAAGGTCCCCAGTCTGAGGAGATCCTCCTGGGACTATCTGCCTGTTCCTGTGGCCTGTGGAAACAACAACACAATGCTGTCTGTGACTCCTTCAAGCACAAACTGAAGGTAAACCATGTTTATCAAACTTTTATGACGTTTGAGATGATTCATAACACAGATGTAAACACATTTTTGGTGTTTGTGTTGGAATGTATGTTGAGAGTTGCCACTGGCAGAGCAGACTTACTCCTCTCCCTCCTCTTCGTCTACAGTCACCCAGTCATCCCCAACATCAGCATCTGGGAGGGAAAGAAAGTGGTGATTTCTCTGTTTTCAAATTTTTCTCCATTGATACATTATTGAATTGTGAGTTTTTTCCCCATAGAAATAGAATCACTAGATTCATAACCAAATCAACCATAGAATCCATTTCTATGAGTTCTACCTCTACCCACCTGTGGATGAGTGTCGCCTGGGACAGCTAGGGCCACTGGGCTCAGGGTTAGGTGGAAGAGGTTTCACTGGCATCTGAGGTCTGAGTTGAGGAGGGTGGGGCATGATGGGGCAGGGGAGTAGGCGGAGATCATGTAAAACAGGAAGTGGAGGTAGAGGTCGCAGGATTGGCTGATGGGGGTTGCCGTGGGAGATGGAGGGAGGAGTCTGGGGGGGAGGGGTACTCTTCTGGATGTCTGACTTTGAAATTGAGGTTAGTAGGCCAGAGAGAGAGGAAGTGGACAAGGTTCTCTGGAGATGATCCTTCTGAGTAGAGGGATGCTTCATCTTGTGTGTCAGTGGAGGTTTCATCGGGCGTGGGGGTGGTTCTTTCCTGTCAATCATGGGAATGGCCTCGTATGTAACCTCATCCTCATCTGTCTCAGTGTTGTTTTGAGGGGGTTTAGTCTGCTTTGTGTTTGATCTGTGCTGCTGTGTTATGGATGATGTGTTATGTTTTGAAGAGATGGATCTCTGGCTATTATTCTCGCTGACCTCGTGAACTCTGACCTCTCTGAGCTCACTGAACACAGCAGCTGTCTCTGTCTGGCACCCTGTCTGACTTTTACCCCCTCGCTCCTCTGCTCCGAAAGATCCCAACATCTCTTCATTCTCCTCTGTCCTCTCTCTCTTCTGGTCCTCATTCCCTCGTTTTTCTTTCTCTTCATCCCCTATCACTTCTACGTAGTCCTCCTCTTCCTCTTCCTCCAGAGGAACCCAGACTAACTTCATGCCAGTTCTCCTCAGGTGACAGATGCACTGGCACTGTGTCCTGTTGCCATGGTGACCACAAGGGGGCGCTGCCGAGCCTGGGGTTTGGCTGCTCTCCATGGTAACACACACAGGCGCTTCATCCACATCACTACCATCGGGAGCTGAAAGAGAATGTGTGATATTGTGTTGTACATATGAGTGTGAAATACACTGTGCTTGTTTGTTAATTTGTTACTTACTTAGTGCAACATTATAATATGAAAGGTTCCATGTGAACCTAATCTCAGCACCCAGAACCAAATCTCCTGCTACTCGATTTTTACATTTATGTAACAGTCTGTCACGAGAGACAAATTGACAGTGGTGTAAAGTACTTAAGTAAAAATACTTTAAAGTACTACTTAAATATTTTTTGGGGGGTATCTGTACTTTACTATTTATATTTTTGACAACTTTTACTTTTACTTCACTACATTCCTAAAGAAAATCATGTACTTTTTACTCCATACATTTTCCCCTGACACCCAAAATTACTTGTTACATTTTGAATGCTTAGCAGGACAGAAAATCGTCAAATTTGCACACTTATCAAGAGAACATCCCTGGTCATCCCTACTGCCACTGATCTGGCGGACTCACTAAACACTTATGTCTGAGTGTTGGAGTGTGACCCTGGCTATCCGTAAATAAATAAAAAAGTAAAAAATTCTGCCGTCTGGTTTGCTTAATATAAGGAATTTTAAATTATTCATACTTTTACTTGTACTTTTCATACTTAAGTATATTTTAGCAGTTACATTTACTTTTGATACTTAAGTATATTTAAAACCAAATACTTTTAGACTTTTACTCAAGTAGTATTTTACTGGGTGAGAATTGGGTACTTTTCCCACCACTGCTAATTGGAACATAAAACAGATTCTGTACCTTAGAGACGTGATAGCTTTTACTCTTTCTCTTCCTCACAGACATATGGACATAGATATATAGGAACATCAGTATACCACAAGGTTTTCTCTGTTCCTACATGCGCAAAACCGCACCCTTTTTCATGTATTCTTTGTCAGAAAATAGTGATGACTCCTAATCATCTTACAAAGGAACGTTCTGAGGTTAAGAGATGTGACTTGGCTTACCTGATCTGTTTTCTTGTCCATGTCCAGGTGTGAGGAGGGTGCTCTGATGGTGGTCTGTCTCCTGCCCCAGGGGCACGGCATGACTCTGTGCTGTAGGTTGTGTTTGAGGGCCAGAACGTGGCTTTCTCAGTGGTACTGGAGGTGGTATGAGGCTGAGTTCCACAGAAGGGCTCATTATTATAGCTTCATAGTCGGCCTGCCCGGCCCCTGTCTGTCCCCTGTCACTGTCTGCCTGCTGTCCTGCCTCTGTCCTTGTCCACCATACCACCCCACTGTCTCCCTGCTTTGCCCCTGTTACTGTCTCTGCCCCTGCCCCTGTTCCTGTCCCTAGCCCTGCCTGCCCCATCACCTCATTCTCCTGGCTGCTGAACTGACGCACAATCCTCTTCACCTTCCCCTCCAGTAGTTGATGTTGTTTCCTCCACTGGCTCCTGTCCCCTGATGGGGGTTGGTTCTGGTTCTGGTTCTTGGTCTGGAAGTTGTTTGGGATGTTTGGCCCCAAGGCTTTGAGGTTAGAAGGCTTTGGGGGAACGACTGGTCGAAGTCTTGACTTCGTTAACGACAAGAACATTGATGAAAATGTTAAATATAAGCTATTCTTCTTATGACTCACCAGTACTTGTTACTTTTACACTGAACAAAAATATAAATGCAACATGTAAAGTGTTGGTCCCATGTTTCATGAGCTGAAATAAAAGATCCCAGAAATGTTCCATATGCACAAAAAGCATATTTCTCTCAAATCTTGTGCACAAATTTGTTTACATCCCTGCTAGTGAGAATGTCTCCTTTGCCAAGATAATCCATCCACCTGACAGGTGTGGCATATCAACAAGCTGATTAAACAGCATGATCATTACACAGGTGCCCTTGTGCTGGGGACAATAAAAGGCCACTCTAAAATGTGCAGTTATGTCACACAACACAATGCCACAGATCTCAAGTTTTGAGGGCGCGTGCAATTGGCATGCTGACTGCAGGAATGCCCACCAGAGCTGTTGCCAGAGAATTGAATGTTCATTTTTCTAACATAAGCCACCTCCAATGTCATTTTAGAGAATTTGGCAGTATATCCAACCGGCCTCACAACGGCAGACCACGCCAGCCCAGGGCCTCCACATCCGGCTTCTTCACCTGCGGGATCGTCTGAGACCAGCCACCCGGACAGCTGATGAAACTGTGGGTTTGCACAACCAAATAATTTCTGCACAATTTGTCAGATATCGTCTCAGGGAAGCTCATATGCATGCTCGTCGTCCTCACCAGGGTCTTGACCTGACTGTAGTTTGACATCTTAACCGACTTCAGTGGGCAAATGCTCACCTTCTATGGCCACTGGCACACTGGAGAAGTCTGCTCTTCACAGATGAATCCCAGTTTCAACTGTACCTGACAGATGGCAGACAGCGTGTATGGCGTTGTGTGGGCGAGCAGTTTGCTGATGTCAATGTTGTGAACAGAGTGCCCCATGGTGGCAGTGGGGTTATGGTATGGGCAGGCATAAGCTATGGACAACAAACACAATTGCATTTTATCGATGGCAATTTGAATGCACAGAGATACCATGACGAGATCCTGAGGCCCATTGTCGTGCCATTCCATCTGCCGCCACCACCTCATGTTTCAGCATGATAATGCATGGCCCCATGTCGCAAGGATCTGTACACAATTCCTGGAAGCTGAAAATGTCCCAGTTCTTCCATGGCCTGCATACTCACCAGACACGTCACCCATTGAGCATGGATGGGATGCTCTGGATCTACGTGTACGACAACGCGTTTCAGTTCCCACCAATATCCAGAAACTTTGCACAGCCATTGAAAAGGAGTGGGACAACATTTCACAGGCCACAATCAACATCATGAATCAACTCTATGCGGAAGAGATGTGTCGTGCTGCATGAGGCAAATAGTGGTCACACCAGATACTGACTGGTTTTCTGATCCACACCCCTACCGTTTTTTTAAGGTATCTGTGACCAACAGATGCATATCTGTATTCCCAGTCATGTGAAATCCATAGATTAGGGCCTAATGAATTCATTTCAGTTGACTGATTTCCTTATAAGAACTGTAACAGTAAAATCTTTGAAATTGTTGCAAGTTGCTTTTATATTTTTGTTCAGTGTAGCTTTTAGTGGAGAAAATGGCCTCTGCTATGCTTGAAATTGAAATGCTAGATACAGTGAGGGAAAAAAGTATTTGATCCCCTGCTGATTTTGTACGTTTGCCCACTGACAAAGACATGATCAGTCTATAATTTTAATGGTAGGTTTATTTGAACAGTGAGAGACAGAATAACAACAACAAAATCCAGAAATTTTTTTATAAATTGATTTGCATTTTAATGAGGGAAATAAGTATTTGACCCCTCTGCAAAACATGACATAGTACTTGGTGGCAAAACCCTTGTTGGCAATCACAGAGGTCAGACATTTCTTGTAGTTGGCCACCAGGTTTGCACACATCTCAGGAGGGATTTTGTCCCACTCCTCTTTGCAGATCTTCTCCAAGTCATTAAGGTTTCGAGCCTGACGTTTGGCAACTCGAACCTTCAGCTCCCTCCACAGATTTTCTATGGGATTAAGGTCTGGACACTGGCTAGGCCACTCCAGGACCTTAATGTGCTGCTTCTTGAGCCACTCCTTTGTTGCTTTGGCCGTGTGTTTTGGGTCATTGTCATGCTGGAATACCCATTCATGACCCATTTCCAATGCCCTGGCTGAGGGAAGGAGGTTCTCACCCAAGATTTGACGGTACATGGCCCCGTCCATCGTCCCTTTGATGCGGTGAAGTTGTCCTGTCCCCTTAGCAGAAAAACACCCCCAAAGCATAATGTTTCCACCTCCATGTTTGACGGTGGGTATGGTGTTCTTGGGGTCATAGGCAGCATTCCTCCTCCTCCAAACACGGCGAGTTGAGTTGATGCCAAAGACCTCGATTTTGGTCTCATCTGACCACAACACTTTCACCCAGTTCTCCTCTGAATCATTCAGATGTTCATTGGCAAACTTCAGACGTGCTTGTAAATGTGCTTTCTTGAGCAGGGGGACCTTGCGGGCGCTGCAGGATTTCAGTCCTTCACGGCGTAATCTGTTACCAATTGTTTTCTTGGTGACTATGGTCCCAGCTGCCTTGAGATCATTGACAAGATCCTCCCGTGTAGTTCTGGGCTGATTCCTAACCGTTCTCATGATCATTGCAACTCCATGAGGTGAGATCTTGCATGGAGCCCCAGGCCGAGGGAGATTGACAGTTCTTTTGTGTTTCTTCCATTTGCAAATAATCGCACCAACTGTTGTCACCTTCTCACCAAGCTGCTTGGCGATGGTCTTGTAGCCCATTCCAGCCTTGTGTAGGTCTACAATCTTGTCCCTGACATCCTTGGAGAGCTCTTTGGTCTTGGCCATGGTGGAGAGTTTGGAATCTGATTGATTGATTGCTTCTGTGGACAGGTGTCTTTTATACAGGTAACAAGCTGAGATTAGGAGCACTCCCTTTAAGAGTGTGCTCCTAATCTCAGCTCGTTACCTGTATAAAAGACACCTGGGAGCCAGAAATCTTTCTGATTGAGAGGGGTTCAAATACTTATTTCCCTAATTAAAATGCAAATCAATTTATAAAATTTTTGACATGCATTTTTCTGGATTTTTGTTGTTGTTATTCTGTCTCTCACTGTTCAAATAAACCTACCATTAAAATTATAGACTGAGCATTTCTTTGTCAGTGGGCAAACGTACAAAATCAGCAGGGGATCAAATACTTTTTTCCCCCTCACTGTAGATCAGCAAGGGAAGGAAATCAAAGATCACAACAAGGGGGTTGACACAGGAGAACACAATCACTTTCATAAAATGGTCATCTTAAATAACTGTCAACATTTACAGTGACACTTTCAGTATGTGAAGTTGAACCATGAAGTTGAATAGGGTGCCAATTGGGACACCACAATGACTTTGATGATAATTAGTTGATATTATTCATATTTACATACCACAATCATGTCTTTTCCTGCATGCCGTCCTCTGTGAGACTGAGAGTGGTGTGGTGTAGACTACTTTCATTTTACAGTGAACCAGAGAGGGGGTCACTTCTGCGTTTTGTCTGTAGATTTACCCCGTACTATCTTAGTCATAGGGGAAGTCCTTAAAGGGGAAGTTCACCCGAAAACACTTCTGGGCCCTTTAAAACAATGGTCGTTTGTCAGTCCCGCAGACAGTTTTTAGGGCCATTGCTTAAGTATTAGGCAGTGCATTCGGAAAGTATTCAGACCCCTTAACTTCTTCCACATTTTGTTACGTTACAGCCTGATTCTAAAATGGATTAAATATGATTATTTTTCAATCAATCTATACACAATACCCCCCCAAAATTAAAAAATATCACATTTACATAAGTATTCAGACCCTTTACTCAGCACTTTGTTGAAGCAACTTTGGCAGCAATTACAGCCTTGAGTCTTCTTGGGTATGACGCTACAAGCTTGGCACACCTGCATTTGGGGAGTTTCTCTCATTCTTCTCTTCAGATCCTCTCAAGCTCTGTCAGGTTTGATGGGGAGCGTTGCTGCACAGCTATTTTCAGGTCTCTCCAGAGATGTTCGATCGGGTTCAAGTCCGGGCTCTGGCTGACCACTCAAGGACATTCAGTGACTTGTCCCGAAGCCACTCCTTCATTGACTCGGATGTGTGCTTAGGGTCGTTGACCTGTTGGAAGGTGAACCTTCTCCCCCAGTCTGAGGTCCTGAGCACTCTGGAGCAGGTTTTCATCAAGGATCTCTCTGTACTTTGCTCTGTTCATCTTTGCCTCAATCCTGACTAGTCTCCCAGTTCCTGCCGCTGAAAAACACCCTCCACAACATGATGCTGCCACCACCAGTGGGTTTTGTGATGAATGAGCCATCTGATTCAATGAATGATGGAGCGGAGTTTGCCTGTTTGCCCAAAATTTCATGTAAGTTGCTCCAAAGCTTTTTACTATCATTCTTTATGTAATTTATCTTTGTTTCATAGTGGAGTTTCTTCTTATTTTTATTCAGTTTAGTCACATGATTTCTAAATTTGCAATACGTTTGCCAATCGGTTGTACAGCCAGACCTATTTGCCATCTCTTTTGCCTCATCCCTCTCAACCATACCATTTTTCAATTCCTCATCAATCCACTGGGATTTAACAGTTTTTTACAGTCATTTTATTAATGGGTGCATGCTTATTAGTAACTGGGATAAGCAATTTCATAAATGTGTCAAGTGCAGCATCTGGTTGCTCGTCCTTACACACCACAGACCAACAAATATCAACAACATAGGAATCACTACAGACCTTATTGTATGACCTCTTATACACAATATTAGGCCCAGCCTTTGGAACTTTGGTTTTCCTAGATATGGCTACTATATTGTGATCACTACATCCAATGGATTTGGATACTGCTTTCAAACAAATCTCTGCAGCATTAGTAAAGATATGATCAATAAATGTTCATGATTTAATTCCTGTACATTTTGTAACTACCCAGGTAGGTTGACTGATAACCTGAACCTGGTTGCAGGAACTGGTTACAGTTTGAAGCT